CGAATATTACAGTAAAGCAAATTTAGATCAATTTAGAGATGATGGAATAGTTTCATAGCTTTAAAGTGTCGGTGTCAAACCTAATGGGGAATGATAAGATGAGAAATCAATTCAAGTGTGGAGAATCAAATAGTGATGTGTTCAAAAAGAGTTTTAGAGATATGTTGATGCATTCATTCTCTAGTGTATTCCCCTAAGTTAGTGGTTATAACATCATGTTGATTTCTCTCATATAAAAACTGTGTTCATGATTTATGCTCATACACTTCAGACAAATTCACATTTATGCTTAGTTCCCACAATGAGGGGTAAAGACTTTAGCCCATTGATCTTAATCCTACTCTATAAAGTTATGGATATCAGCCTCATGATATGAGTCTATTCATATAGGAACTCATGTCTCATAGTATGCTTATTCTCTCAAAATCATGATTCAATGGATAGCAACTTAATGTTATGTCATGCATATTTGTATATCAAAATTCTCGTATGAATCGTGCTTATGATCTTTGGCCAAAGGCTTTTCCACTCATCCTTTTAGTTAGAGAGTGATGTTGATGATATTAGTTGAGTATTGATAGAAGAATAAGAATGTTAATGTTTCAAATGTTGGTAGCAGTAGTGCGCTTATCATATCTAAGGTTATAAAAGTGGCAGGAAGGATGAGTAGAGTCTTGCTATGAGAAATAGTTAAATGGGAGCAATTAGTCAGTTCATGTTAGTAATATATGAATTTTTCAGTTGGTAGAGATGATGAGAGAATGAGAAATTCTTAGAATGATTGGTTAGTAGAAGTCGTGGAGTGATTATAGTACTAGGCTTGAATATAGTGTTGTTAACATATAGAATAAGTGTGATGCATTAGGTGTTTCTTGATATGGGTTCAGGGTTGGTTTAATGCGGTTATAAGAAAAAGTAATCTTGGGATGGTATTCCCTATAGAGCTATAGACCTTGAACATATGGTCTAGATTAGTATAACCATCTCATGCTTATAATCTTGTGTTTAAAGATTTACTTGAACTTAATAAGAGTATACATAGACCCTTGAAGGAGTTATGAGTTGCAGCTAATGAGTTGCGGTATTCAAGAAGAAGGGCATGGTTTAGATGTGTTGATAGGCTTGAAAGTTAGTAGTTGTATTGCTTAAGTCATAATGGTCCTATTCTTACTTCATGCCGAGATTTCTTTGTTTCAGGTAAGATAATTCAGATAGAGCATGACTATTTCCAGAACAATATCATTCTTTACTTATGTACTATAGACAATTTAAAACCTTTAGTATGAATCAGTTCCTCCTATGAGTAACTCCTTTTCTTTCCATTCCCAGGCCAACCTTCATTCGAGAATGACTGATCCAAAGAGGGGATATATTACAACATCCTAAAAGTTTCTAAACTAAGACTTGAATCATTAGATAACACCTCACTAATTTACTCTTAAGAATTTGAATCGTCTGTGTTACACCTCAGACTTTAAAAAAGATTAAAAAGGGGTAAATAGCAAGTCCATGAACCCTTAGTGGACCATAGACCCTTCATGATACCCTAAATGGTTCGTTAAGGGGTCCACAACATGTTTAGGGCATTGTGGAGAACAGTCCAAGGCTTCCAAGGTAGGAGTCACCTAAACAAGAACCTAGACGGCCGGTGGTAACTTGACGGTCCATTTAGGTGTCCGTACAAGTCATCCATCAATTTAAAAATATTGGGGCGGCTTCAAATGATCATATCCCTCAGGTCAAAATGAATTAAGTGGCACATGACCTATCAAATTAGAGATGTTTGAGTCATCTTTCCAACATCACCAAGTTTGCTCAGTTCAAGTTCAGATTAAAAGTTTATGCCCATTTTAGTGAAGCATTGTCGGGCATGTGAAGCATTAGATGACCCGTGAAGCCTTAATTTGTGAAACCGCTCATTTTGTCTTTTCATCAGTTTTAAAGTTGGAATCGTTTTGGTCTTTCCCCTATGTCACTTTTAACCCTATTATAAGTCGTTTATGAGTTTTTCAATAGAGTATACCATTCAACTAACTTATTTCATCGATTACAACATTCAAGTATTTAGAAATTCCTTTAAGAGTTCCTCTTCTACAACAACAACCATAAAATCTTCAAGTCATCAGTCCAATATACAAAGAAATTTCTTCCACCCAATTTTTCCAAGTTCTACTCTAATAACTTCATAAAAGTGTTTCTTTTCTCAAGATCAAGCCCCAAGATTTCAAGTTCAAGATAAATCAAGTCTCTATCAAAGTTCCATTCTAAAATATTCATAATCAGTTGTGTAAGTTCATCATAGTTTTGGAGAGTTCGTCCTCACACCCTACATCTATTATCAAATTAGTAAAAGAATAATCTAGGGTTCTATCATTAGAATTTCGGTGTTCTTGAGATGAGTTGATATTGAGTTATGAATTTTGGAGTTGTTGATTACTGAATTCCTATTTCTAATAATTGAATTATCGTACATTGTGTATTGGGATTATTGAGTTGATTGTTCATGACTATTTTTCAACATGAACCCTATTTTTTAGTATTTATTGGATCATTATTGAGAATATTTTAAGCAAAACATTATTGTTTAAACTGAGATTCGAGAAAGTGAACTTAAGTTTGAGAAAGAGTATAAGAAAACTAAATATTTCCCAAATATTTCATTTTTACATGAAGAAAAAGTGTAAACTTTTTTTACAAAAGATAAAAGAGTTTTCAAGTAGCTTAACTATAGAGTAGTTACCTCTTTACTCAATGTAAAAATACCTTGTTTTCTAATGAGCAGTAAGTTTCAGAGTAGTTACCTCTTTTAAGAGGACAGTTTGAGAAATCATTTCAAATCAGAGAACAATTTTATACATTTGAGCAAGAATATATATTATTTGGAGTAATAATGAGCTCTAATATGGGGAAGAGTTCAGACCACTCACAACCCTCATAAGCCATGTATTGCCAACATGCATACAAGACCATACTTTTTAGATAAATTCTTAGTGCCTTCAGGTAGAACTTGTTGAGTATATACATAAAACTCCACAATTTTCACACATGTACAAAATGTGCAAATAAAATCAATGGCAAAATCAAATTTATTAAAAAAATACACATTAAATAATTTTTTGTAAGGTTATGATTCTGTAACAAATTTTATATTCATGTTTTTCTTATAAACCTCTTTACAAAATTGATATCATGATTTTTTAACGTTACAATTCAGATTTCTTTCCCCATTCATATTCATATTTTTCTTTTCTCCTCCGCTAATCCTTATCGATTATAGTCACATGGCCATAATATTTATTTCTAACTCTTTATGATAGCATTTTTTATTTTTATCATTCGATTTTTAGTTGAATTGTGAAATTTTTCAAGAACTTTTATAATTAAAGTTATTTTGAGATACGTAAATTGTTAAAATTGACAGCATTATAGAATCATGATATAAAAAAACAACCAATTAAAATGTTAATTATTAGAGGCGTCAAAAAGACTTGTGTTTAACAGGCTATATTCAATAGAGAATTATAATTATGTTATCTATTTTCTAAATTAATTAACAATAAAATTTGCATTAACAAATATTTTATATTAATTGAATCATGTTGCAAATTTACTTTCCTTAATTTTTATTCTTGTGTTAGTAGTTTATTAATCCATTTAAGTTCTTTAATGGAAAAGAGAAAAAAAATCACTTCACCATTGCTTTGATCGGTAAAAAGATTGAACTTTCTAAAAGATTACAATTTTATGTGATTATTGGTAAAATCTCTCCTTTTAATGTATTCCAATAATTATATTTTCTAACAATAAATGACTAAACAAAAAAAAACATTACACATTGTTTAAAACAATCATAAGTGAAGTAAAATTACCAGTGTGATTTTACAATAACATAACTTGCTTTTCGACATTATCATTATATTACGCTTTTAAAGAAATGGTATGAAATATGTCCAGTTTTAAATACGTCCTTTAATGTTGCAGTTAATTAGTAGATTAATTAATACTGCAAATAATTTTGGTTCAAATAATAGGTGTTTCAAAATTAAATATAAATTCGAATTCCTAAATTTCATTTCATTATTTGTATTATCTTCAATAGTATTTTGTGGAAACATAGTTCCACAAAAATACTGTACATTGATTTCTGTATTATCTTTGTTATTTTGAGGAGTGATTCATTAATATATTAGATGGTCTTTGTGTAATTTTGGAATTGAATGTTATAATATATAAATTTAAAGTTGTTTATTATTTTTATGACGGTGATTATTTATTTTAAATGTCAAAAATATGAATATTCAATTTGAAAAGTTGTAAAAATGATTTTCTTAAATAATAACCGTAAAATAAAAGTATCTAATAAGAAATTAACAAAACTAACAATTGAAATAACCGAAGATAGAAGGGCAAGTCCGACTAACGGCCATGCAACTCAAGAAAAATCCTAAGAAGGAAAGTCGACATTTGTAGCCACCATTACAAGTTCGAAAGAAGAATATGATTCTAGACGTACTTGCCACCGTGCAGAAAGAAATTTCCAAGAGGGAACAATGTTGTGATGCCAAAGAAGCCACCGAGGTGCTTGCCTCGTTAGAAGGAGGTAGATCGTGAGGCTGAGTTAGAAGTGATAAAGAAGCAATTGAAGGAGTTGCGCGAGGGCATTGATCGAGTCAATGGACTATTGGTCGTGCGTACGAGAAGGCAAAACTCGGTCGTTGATGCAGTGACAATGCAACGCGATCGTCGCATCATTAGGTGGAGGAGAGTGTCACGTTCTGCCAATTCTCAGTAAGATTTTGTATCCGAATAGGGGACGAAAAGTCTATAATTTTGGAGAGGTTTATAGAAAACTCTAGAAGTCTCTAGATCTTTCTAGAAGGCTTTGGAGAATTCTAGAAGGAAGATTAGATATTTTCTAGGAAAACTTTGGAAAATCCTAGGAAATAGTATAAATAGAAGTGTCACTCATTTATAAAACATCCAACAAATTGTAAGCAACATAAAGCCTTCTTCTAAATCTTTCGAAGTCTTCCTTTCATTCTCTTAGCGATCTTAGCATAAAGGGCTTACTTGAGCTTACAAGATCATTTCATTCTCTAAGCGATCTTAGCATAAAGGGCTTACTTGAGCTTACAAGATCATGAAAGATTCGTGAGTAAGTTATCAAGTGTCGCACGGAGCTTTAAAAAGACTAAGTGCCGCACGGAGCTTTAATAAGACTAAGTGGCGCACGGAGCTTTAATAAGACTTTAACTCTCTGACAATAAGGTTGCTAATCTTTCTACTATTTCTTTCCTTTTAAGTTGTGAAAGAGATTTTCGTATAATTTCACCTTAATGGTTTTTGTTCTCCTCTACAGATTGAAATTTTCCACGTGGAGGCACAAATGATAACTTCAAATGACCTACAGAAGTTTTGTGTCCTTGAGTGTTCAGGATGTAAGCATAAAAATCTTATAAAAGACAAAAAGAAGTTTGAATGCACAGTGTAGCGTACCATCGATAGACAACATTAGTGCCTTGATCTATATTTTTTTCCATATAGATTACATTACAACAATATGTATCGCTATCATATAGTTGAAGGCTCATTTACATTACGTTGAAACAATGTTGGTTCTAAATTATATAAATGTGTACTACTTGTTAAATGTTGTGAATATTTGATTCACTTGATTTTTGATGGTATTACTGCTGTTTATACGTGTTGATATTTGATCAACTTCATTATTGAAACAAATACTTTGATAAAGTAGATCGGTATACTTAGATACCAGCAACTAAGTTTAAATGAGACTTTTAAATTAAGACGATTGAAATATAGTGCAACTTATATTTTCTTTTTATATATTTTGACTTCTTTGTATTGCCTATGATTGGGGGAATACATGCTTCACAAGAAGAAGATGGATTGTAAAATATGTGCTAATTTTTTTTTCATTTGTTTTTTTAGTTGTCAACTATATAATGTGATAAAAAAAAATACATATTTTAATTATTTGAAAACTTAATATGCTTAATCGTAAAACACAATGATTAAAAATTATAATTTATGATACTTAAGGGACAACATATCTATTATTAATCTTGATCTTATTTTATTGTTTCACACTTGGTGTCAAATGTTCTTTATTTATTATATTAGAATATGAATAAGTTTGAGATATTGATTATTCTTCTGATTTATAATTAAATAGCACCAACAAGGGTTTAAAAAGTTACTACCTATAACCCTCAATAATAATTTGAGTTGTAACTCTTGGTTATTCTTCTCTGTTTTGTAAAAATTGTTATTAGTAATCAACTATTAAATAAATATATGTGTGTCTCTAAAGATCCATAAATTTGTCAAGAACATTTTTAGTATATTAACGATTTGTATGTTGGTAACTATGAGATTTAATTTAAAGAATGTCTAGTTTAAAAATTCCTAATTTTATTGATCTAAGAAAGAAAAATGTAAATTATATTGAAATGAAACAGAATCAACAAATCCTTGGCTGACTCGCGAATGATCCTATTTTGTGTGAATCTGAATTAGTCAAACTCTAATTAAACACCAAATGAAAAATTAAGAAAAAATATAACGGATCCAACATAGAACATTAATCATGTCTTATAATTAACTTCTATATTACAAGAATGAAATTTTAATTATTTTTCTATAAATACCAAAAGTCAATGGATGTGATCCTACAAGAAAATACTTATGATAATTAAATGATAAATTAAGGTAAAAACATATATTAACTAACTATAATTTAGTGATACCAGTGGCCATTTATATGCCAATTATTAATTAATGAACAAATGATATTCTTAAAATGATGAAGATTTTATTATATGGTGAATCAAAATCATCTAGTAAAAAGAAGTAGACGTTTAATAGAAGGCTAAAAACGGACATTAATATTTTGACAAAAAAATAGAAAAAAACATGTAACGACCTGTTTAGTCGTTTTGAGCAGTAGAGTTTATTCTGGTAATAACTGTCAGGGTCGACGAATTCCACAACGGACCGTCATGGGCACAACGGACCGTCGAGGGGGTCTCGTTCCAAAACACTTAGATTCTGAAAATTTGGGTACTGAGAACAACTCTCTGAACTTCGCGACAGAATGGCAGGACGGACCGTCGCAGGCATGACGGGCCGTCACAGACCTCTTAAATAAAATTGAGTCTCTTAACTTTGTGACGGACCTGCAGTACGGACTGTCACAGTCATGACGAACCGTCACAGGCTGCGTAACCCTGACTGGGTCGGATTTCTGTTAAAAGGTTTTAAGGGGCGTTTTGGACTATTCATGCTTATAATTATAAAGTTAGTGGGTTAATGTTAATAATTCAATTACTAAGGGGTTAAAGGTGATAACCTTGAATAAATAGTGGGTTACTTTTACCATCTTTATACTTAATTATATGATAATTAGGGTAAAAGAAAAAGGGTTTGAATAAGAAAAATAGAAAGAGCAAGAACAGAGAGAGGGAGAAACAAACGAACAGAAGGGAGAACGAAGAGAAAAACGGAATGGCTTGGGAAGTAGCTTGCTTGATCGCGATTCTTCGGTGGAGGTAGGTTATGGTTTATGCTATTCCATAGTAAACTCTTAATAGCGAATGATATGTGTTGGATAGTGTTGTAAAGTCTTTCATATGCTTAATTGTATGCTTGTATGATGTGATTATGTAATTGTAATGGGTTGGAAAGATGAGGTTGTGAAGCTTAAACCTAAAATCCACTCTGTTAATGATGATGCCTTAGTATAAAAGAAGGCTTGATGAACTAAAAGAATGAGGTTAATGGATCGGGTGTCACGTACCGACACCAGCATAGTAGTAGTGGATCGGGTGTCACGTTCTGACACTAGGATAGTAGTAGTGGATCGTGTGTCACGTTCCGACACCAGGATAGTAGTAGTGGATCGGGTGTCACGTTCTGACACCAGGATAGTATTAGTGGATTGGGTGTCACGCTCCGACACTAGCATAGTAGAGGATCGGAGTGTCACGTTCCGACACCAGGATAGTAGAGGATCGGAGTGTCACGTTCCGACATCAGGAAAGTAGAGGATTGGAGTGTCACGTTCCGACACCAGGATAATAAAGAGAATGAATATTACTATTTCCCAAATGAGTAAGGTGTGGAGGCTTGAGTCCTCATAGATGTGTTTGGGGTTGTAACCAAGAGTTATGGTACTTGCCATTGTTACTTGTCGAATATGTAGTTGATTTTATGTTATTATCTGACATATACTGTTTTCTATTTTGAGTTGGCCGATGATACCTACTCAGTACTTGTGTTTTGTACTGATCCCTACTTGTATTTGTTTTTCTTGTTATTTGTGGAGTGCAGCAAACGTATCATCGACTTCGACTCAACCGCAACTCTAGCCAGACTTCAGCATAATCAAATTTCAGGGTGAGCTATTACTCCTAGCTCGGACTGGATTCTTTCCTTCGCGTCTTGATGTCTTGAAGTTCGGACATGGACCATCTCTTTTACTTATTTTAGCTTCTTAGATACTCTTAGATTTAGTAATTTGAGGATAGATGTTCTTGTGATGATGACTTCCAGATTTTGTGAATAATAATAAGTATTTGAGTTTTTAGAAGTTATTAATCTATTTTTATTAATGAGTTTTAAGTCTTCCGCATTATATTCTTTTTATTATGGTTGAAATGTTGGGGCTTAGATTAGTTGGTTCGCTCACATAGTAGGATAAGTGTGGGTGCCACTCGCGACTCGTTTTGGGTCGTGACAAACTTGGTATCAGAGCATTAGGTTCGTTGGTCTCATCACACAAGAACGAGTCTAGTAGAGTCATGAGGAACGGTAGGGGAACGCCTTTACTTTTCTTTGAGAGGCTATAGGACTTTAGGAAAATTCCATTCTTTCTTTCTTTCGTGCTATTACTTGGATCTAATTGGTATCTAGGTGATACAAATTGGAATCTGACCATCTTCACTCTATTTTGCAGATGGTTAGAACTAGAGCAACAACTGTCCCAACACCAACACCAGCAAGACAAGATGCGTCTGAGCCAGCCACTGGGGCTGTAGCTCGAAGAGGAACAGTGGCAAGAGGCAGTGGTAGAGGTCGCGGGAGGAAGTCCTCTAGAAAAAGAGGACAACCACCTGGCCCATCTAGTACTAGGGCGGTGACTCCTCCACCGACTGAGGATGTATTAAGAGAGGGTGAGGAAGGGGAGAATGAACAAGTGCAGAATGAGGAATTACCACCCCAACCTACCCCGGAGATGATTAATCATGTTCTTGCTTTTCTTAGCGGGTTATCTGATCAGGGCCAGACGCCTCCAGTGTTTTCTGCACCAGCACCTCAGGTTCCGGGAGTACAACATGCAGCTGCTGTGACTCCCCGCATGGATGCCTCATTGGAAATAGGCAAGTTCCCTCGGTTGACTACAGGGCGTATAATGACAAGTGGTCAGCACGAACTTTTTAGCAAGTTCTTGATTTTGAAACCTCCAATCTTCAAGGGTGCTGAATCTGAGGATGCGTATGATTTTCTGGTTGACTGTCATGAGTTGCTACATAAGATGGGCATAGTGGAACGATTCGGTGTTTAGTTTGTAACCTATCAGTTTCAGGGAAATGCCAAAATGTGGTGGCGATTGTATGTTGAGTGTCAACCAGCAGAGGCACCACCTATGACTTGGGCATCATTCTCTAGCTTGTTTATGGAGAAGTATATACCCCGGACTTTGAGGGATAGGAGGAGAGATGAGTTCCTGAGCCTAGAGCAAGGCACGATGTCGGTTACTACGTATGACGCTAAGTTTTGTGCATTATCTAGGTATGCCACCCAGCTTTGCTTCAGTCCACAAGAGCGGATTCGCCGTTTTGTGAAGGGATTGAGGTCAGATTTGCAGATTCCAGCCTTACAGGTATCTACTGCAGCAAAATCGTTTCAGGAAGTAGTAGACTTTGTGATATATGTAGAGGGAGTGAAGCCAGATGACTTCACCATGGCATCAACTACTAAGAAGTTTCGTAAGGGAGGTGAGTTTAGTGGTTCTTACTCCAGAGGGTAGAGTTCTAGAGGTTATCCAGCCCGACTTATTCAGTCTTCACTGCAAGCTGTATTTGGGGGTCCACCGCAGACCGGACAACATTTCTCTGAGTTTGGAGGTTATCCCCAGACTCTGTCGTTCTTACAGAGACCTATGCTTGAACCCAGAGAGTGTTATGGATGTGGGTAGATTGGACATATTAAGAGATATTGTCCAAAACAGAGTTACAGACCCTCAATAGTCAGAGGTAGAGGAGGTCATGGAAGAGGTCACCATTCTGGAGGACGTGGTGGCCGAGGTAATGGTGGTCACCAAAATGGCCGGGGTAACGGGCAAGCTGGAACTACTGCAGCACAGCATGGTAGGGGCAACGGACAGACAGGTGATAGGGCCCATTGTTATGCTTTCCCTGGGATGTCTGAAGCAGAGACATCTGATGCTGTTATCACAGGTAATCTTTTAGTTTGTTATTGTATGGCTTCTGTATTATTTGACCCTGGCTCCACATTTTCATATGTATCTTCCTCATTTGCTACTGGTCTTAATTTACACTGTGAATTGGGGCCCATTGTTATGCTTTCCCTGGGATGTCTGAAGCAGAGACATCTAATGTTGTTATC